GGCTCTCTGCTCCTGCTTGGATATGGAGGACAACCGCTCTCTGCTGGTGTGTAATAAGCGCCAAGAGAGCCTTGCGAGGGTGCTGTGCCAGGCCGGCAGGGTTGGGCGTGCCTGTAGTCATCCCAGAGGTTTGGGTTAGGAAGCTGTGGCATCAGGGACATTTTGTCTTGCTGGTTGGGTCTTGCTCCCTTCTTTGCAGCAGAAGAATCGCTCCAGGAGGTTTCTGCAGGCAAAAAATGAGCAAAGACGAAGAGCCAGCACTAACTTCCAGTCTGGGCTCCTGCTACACCTTACATGCGTTATGTGATTCACTGGGGAAGCGTGCAGTAAATTTAGGTCGGTCACGCGTGCGCAGTAATTATTATGCAGTTCACTGGGGAAGGACACAATAAACTTAGGCTGGCCACATGTGCACAGTAATTATGCAATTCGTTAGTGAAGTGTGCAATAAATGTGGACCGGCCACACATGCAAAGTAATTATTGCATGATAAAAATGTCCATCCAGCTATAAAAAGAGCCAAGAGGCTATCAAATTAGTGCTTGAAAATGTGTAAGTGCTCTACCTGATTGCTCTCCAGCTTTCATTTGAATGTGTAGCAGGGCCCTTAGAGACTAATTGGTTCAGAAAGGCACTTGCTTTCATTGGCAACAACCTACTGGACCCAGGCAGGGCAGCATCTGGTGAAGTAGGTTGTTGCTAATAGAAGCTTCTGCCTTCAGTCAGTGTCTGACGTGCTACCTTGCCCTGCTTTCTGCCTAAATTCAGACTATCCTAAGTAACCACATCTAGCTGTGAAAAGGAGGACTTGAAAATGGTCCACCTCTACAGCTAGGAAGCAAATAAGGACCCAGCTTCTTTTTAAAAAAGAAACACCTTGTGATTTTTAAAGCCACGTTCAGAGTTTTGGGCTGACTCACAGTTGTAGCAGGTGATCCTAGGGCAAGGGTCCATTTCTTCAAAACTATTTGGTATCTTATTCAGCCTTTCAAAAGTTGGCAACAGCTCGTTTAAAGGAGGGATACAGGCTGAGAGTAGGGATGATGATAGAAAGAGCCAACTGCAACTCTGCACTCATCTGGCTGTTAACAGTATTTTTTAACTTGAACAGATGACAGTTTCTGAGAGCCAAGAATTCTGGAGCTCCATGGTGCTATTCAGGCTATCACTTGGCAGAGCACAACTTCACTTCCGTGTAGAGGTGAGACATGGATACCTCTGGCTCCCAGCAGGCTATGCTCTAGAAGGCTGTTAGTACTGAGTTAGAGCACTGTAAGCAGATTCTCTATAAATGTTAAACTGGGAGTCAGGAAACCCAAATTCCCGGGTCTCCTGTTTGTTGTGTGAGGCCTTGGACAAAGAATTTACCATCTCCAGGCCTTAGTTTCCTCATCTGTAAATTAAGAATGACAGTGCACATATTCATAAAGCATTATGAAGTTTATCATTAAGATGCTTAAAGATTGTTCTGCAGCAGGCACTGCATTGCGGGATACTTAAATCTTCATCACAGTGCATTGTAATGGGTTCTGTAGCAAAAGCTTTTTAAGGAGCCATGGGTGTGCACACATGCAATAGGAAAGCGTGTAGAATGATTATAGGGGAAAAAAAGGTAAAACCCTGGTCTGTTTGGGTTCTGTGGATCCTGTATGATAAACATTTTCTTGCTTAATTTGCTGCAGTCATCTGTCTGAACAAGAGCTCAGGTTGTTGATAGGAACAATGCCACATTTGCATAGGAACTCTGAGGTCTTAAACCAGGTAGGTTCAGTGGGAAAATAAAACACAGAATTGAAGGGATTTGACCAAGACCGACCAGATGGCCTGTTCCTAAACTTAAAGAGTGTTTCCCCTGCCATGAAATGACAGGATTAACTATCTGTTTACTAGACTATAAAATGCTAATCCTAGAATGTTGCTTTTGGATACTAAGTAGTATATGTACTACTATTTTAAACCAAAGGTGATGTGTGTGTCCATGTTAGAAAGCCCTAAGTTTTCTTTTGGAAAGAGTTATGATTTAGGGCAGGGGATGGAAAGGACAGGATGATATAGTCTCTTTGAAAGCTGGTGCTTTTGGTGGGAAGGGGAAGGTAAGTTACCATTTTGTGGTCTGGAACCTCAGTTTTCCTCGAAGAAGAAGGGGGCTATGGGCTTTTGGTACAAAGAAAACCTTAAAACTGCAAACTTGGTGGTGATGAATGCAGTGATGTAATTTGCGTAACTGCAGAGTTTGTAATAGGTATACTAAATCTGAAGCCTATTGCTGACCATTTAAATCATAAATGTTAATTATTTCACTGATGATCAAGGTGTGTTGTAAAGCTGGTGGCTGGCTCATTTCACTGCATGAAGAAATTGAGGGTGAGGGAGTGGGGGGACTGACACGAGGAAGAGATACTGATATCTTCCTGATATTTTGGATGGCTTATCTTTGTGGTCCTCATAACAGATGGAGCTTGAGTGGACCACTACTTCTTAATTTTTCCCACCAACTACCTGATTGTAGTGGAGAGCATTTTATTTTGAATGTATTGAAGGAAGAGTGATGGAACTGTTGCTTCAGATGAAGGTCATTAAATTGGGCCATGGGATGTAGATTTATGTAGTTTGCAAAGTGCTTTAATTTTCGCAGGTACTTAAGAGTACCTGTGGCTGCTTTCATGTTTTAAGTCCTCATGTGTTATCTTCTATTAGATCCTGGTTTTAAACAGGATATGAAATCTTCCATTTCCTAGTCAGCCGAAAACTGTTCATTTCATTGTCCCTAAGCTGCTTATATTTTGCAAAGCATCAGCAGCATGGGCAAAACTGTGGGTTTGGTTTAGCTTGGTGAACCTGGGATCTGCTTGAGTATAATGTTATGAACAAACTGCAGCAGCCCAGCTAAATTTCTAAAGGAGTGGATTTCAATCTTGTTGACTCAAGACAGCTATCAGAAAATGCAACCTCTTAGGCTCCACTTTTTTTTTTTTTTGTCTACAGAAAAAGATAGAGTAATTCTTTCATTGTGAAGAGCTGAGACCACAGGTCACAATGTTCTTGACGCTATGGATTTCTATTTGAAATCTTGAGTTTATCCTGAAATCTCTAAGGCAATCAGGACTCATAGTAGAGATGATATCTTTTACTAGACCAACAAGATTTTTGCAAAAATAAAATTCTGTAATTGTAAGCTTTGTAATTGTAAGGATCTCCTGTGAGGATTTCAGGTGGTCACAGTTGCAGAAAGCAACTGACCACCTGAAACCTGAGATCCTGCTCCTGCCTTTGTTCCAAGGTAATTTGCATCATCACAGATTCTCACAGGAGGTGAGAGGCTTCATACCAGCTATGAACTGACTGCCCAGAGGAGTTTTCCATCGATTGACTCCTCTGTGAAATCCTATGAAACACGAACTTTCATTTCTACCCAGGAGAGCTTTTACAGTCTTTTCTCCAATGCCTTATGAAGGGTGTTTGTGCCTGAAAGCTTGCAATTACAGATTTTTTTTGCAAACATCTTGTTGGTCTAATAAAAGATCATCTCTACTATGAGTCTTGATTGTCTTTTCTTCTAGACCAATACAGCTACAACCTGGATACCTGACACTCTTGAAATCTTGAGTTTATCTTGTAAATGGTGTGTAGGGTATTTAACTGTGCCACTGTGTGGTGCCCATAACAAGATCTCATGGCACCCTGGTTGAAAATTACTGTTCTAAAGATTTCATAGGTCTTATTATGTATTTAAATCCATATATGAGGGGAAAGGAAGCAGCATATATGGGGGGAAAGGATACTTGTAAATTCGGGTGAGGTATTTGTAGTAATGACTCTAAGCAGAATCTTTTGAATACTGTGGTTCAGGGTTTATTCATAACGTTTATCTAAGGAGTAAATAATTAGGCAATTTATTATATTATTCTTCCTTCCCTATAGCCAGTGCCAGGAGTGTTTCAGTCACTTTGGCTCTCAGTTCTTGTATCATTTCCATTAGATCAACAGATCTTGTTTGGAAATCAGGAGATGAAGTTTCTTTGCTTAATAATCTTGTTATCTTTTAATGGAGGACATTGCCTCCGATTTTTTTCCCCAGGATCATCATAAATCAGTGCCTTGAGCCATGTGATTGGAGTTTTTCTGGTTTTGTTTCTTTTTAGTATTTGCTTTTTTACATTTGTACTTAAATTCAGAATTTGTCTTGTATTTTTTCAGTGACTGCTGTTTGTAACAGGAAGTGACACCATTAGATGTTACTAGGGCTGTGCACAATTTCAACAAGTGTTTCATTTCAAAGCTGTTTTGCTGCGTTTCAAGCTTGAAACAGCAAAAACAAAACAAAAGGCTTTGAAACAAAATGAGGGCACTTAAAACGTTTCAAAAGTTTTGAAACGTTTCAGGTTTTGAAGCAGCCCAATGGTGGGAGGTGGGGAGAGCTAGGGCTGCACCCTGAGCAGCTCTGCCAGCCCCATGGAGCACAGCCCTGGCTCACCCCACCTCCCACCACTGGGCTGAGCTCTGTGGGGCTGGTGGAGCTGCTCGGAGCACAGTCCTGGCTCTTCTCTGCCTCCTGCCACCAGGCTGAGGTTTGAGCAGCTCTGCCAGCCCCACAGAGCTGAGCCTGGCAGTGGGAGGCAGGGGAGAGCCACTGGCCAGGGCTGTGCTCCGAGTGGCTCCCCTACTGGCTCTCGTGCTGCCTTTCGCCGCCAGGGTGAGCTCCATGGGGCTGGTGGAGCTGCTCAGAGTGCAACCCGGCGGCAGGAGGCGCAGAGGGCCA